CCGGAACCAGATCAAGAACCCAAAAAACCGGAGCAGAAATTAACAATATCTTGAAAGTACACAGAGATTAAAAACTAACAGAGTGTAAACTCTCTCTCTCGGTAACGAAATTGTGCTCTATAATATATCAAAAATATTTACTTGTATATAGCTCTTTAAATGAGTGACTCTTTCAGCCAAGCTACTCTATTTTTTCTCTGCGTGTAATCGCGAACGCATCTTGTCACATTCTCATTGTCATCGTCATTGCTATTGTCATTGTCCGTGTCATTGTCAGGAGATCTATTTTTTCCCGTTCGCAGTTCCAGACGTCGAACAATTCGAGCAATTTCACTTTAAAAATTGCGGCGTTTAGCGCGCGATTGCCACAAATCAAAGCGACATTAAATTTCCCCTTGGCTCCCCACAGCCCCCCGATGCCAGACGACTCGTATTTACCCTAGGCAGCGGCTGTAACCGCCTTAGATTTGTGCGCCTGTGTGTGTGTCTGTGTGTGCCTTTTCATTTTTAGATAAATAAAACATCGCAAAGAAATCCCAAATGTCGTTTTCGTCTGAGCAGAGGCGTCCAAGAAAGTGGTTTGAGTGGTCTGGCATGGACAGGGATCGGGGAGCGGAGAGCGGAGAGCGGGGGATTGACTGCTGCAAACATATGCGATGCCAAATCAGCAGCAGACAAAACAAACAAAGACTTCGGGACAGACAAAAGGACCAAGACGGAAGGACAGACAGGCAGACATTGAATTCGCCTTCGCTGTTCAAAAATCGCTAAAGCAAATGAGAGGAAAATAAAAGTTTACGTGGCGCGCACGTGAGTGCCAGAGCAGGCAGCTTTTGCCAGGGCACACGCGAGGGTGGCTGCCTCCTCCCGCTCCCGCTCCTGCTTCTGCTCCTGCTCCGTTGTCAGTGACTGCTGCCGATTTTCGTGCGTAGACATCAACACAGACGACAATATTCCACTTCAAGTGATTTGTTGTTCAAAGTGGAGACTCAACGACAAAAAGAAAAGAAAACCAAGGAGAAAATACAGAACTTTTCCAGACGTCGGCGGCTGCTTGAATGATGTCCATGAGGGATGGCGTCAGGGGGAGGGAGAGAGACCAGTGTGTGGGTGGGGCAGGGCCCTTAGGCCTACAATTTCCACAGAGCTCAGCAGCAATCGGTGGCTAATAAATAAATATGCAAGCAAGAAGCAGCCTCCGTAGCTGGATTAGTCTGCGAATTTATGTCTGATCCATAAGCCATGCGTGGAGCATTGCCTATGAAAGCTGATACAGATGAGGTCTTAATATATAGATGACAGTCGAATGGGCACAGCTGAAGCATAAATATGCGAGAATTATTGAGCAGCGTCGTTAGCATAGGGGAATAGATGTGATCCTATAAGTGACATAAATTCTAGAAAATAGATTTAACTCTACACGTAACACTAGATAAATTTCTCGATGGAAGACTACGAGAAGAACTACTAGAAGACTAGGCTAGGAGAACGACTGTGGAAGAAATCACTACTAGAAATCAATTCCAATCTCAGCAACTTTCGTCTAGTGTCTAATGTTGTTAGTCTAACGTGATTATCGTAGAGCAATACGTGAATAGGCCTAGCTTGACTGTCTGACAATAGCGCTTGTTATCCTGTTTATGTCCCATTCTTGTCCATGAACGTAATGCCAAAATGTACGCGTCTCTGAACTTTGACCCTTGCAAAAAGCGCCGCCTGTGACCTTTGTGCGTGCGTTGACGCGTCTGCGCCACATCAAATTTTATGGATGCTGCGCTCGAATGTTGTTTCTGTTGTTTCTGTTGCTATTGCGACTGTTGTTGTTGCGGATTCTGGTGCTGTTGCTCAGTTTGCTTGGCACTTTTTTATGTGAAATTAATTTAGAAAACTTTCTCGAAATCACAAAATGTGAACAATTCACGTGTACGCCCAAGGGGTCAGATGTCGGGCGTCAGAGTTTTGGGGTTGGGGTTTGTTTAGGGTCCGTTTCTTTTTTTGGGGAGCTGAGTGCCATGTTTTGATAAGTATGTGTTTGCAGTTAATGCGGCTTAGTAAACCATAAAGGTCTGAGGTTTAAGAGACACACGGCAACTGAAAAGTGAAAAACTAACTTACGATTATATACGTGCATGTATCAAAACATCTTATGTTGGGATTAAAGACAGCAAAAAATGGAGTGTGTGGGTCAGCTTAGCAAAAGAAGTATAACGAAATGTAGACGTAGCATTAAGCAGAGGCAACTAGTATCTGTCTGTCATGTACTTAAGAGTTGTGTTTATCTTTTGAGTGAGTTTTACTCTTAGTGAAGCAGTATCTTTATCTCTGCGCGTATCTCTTTAGTCAATCATCATCATGTATTTTAGTCAAGCCCCCTCTCCCTCTCTCTCTCGGCCACTGTTTCTCCGTCCCCCTCTCAGCTAAAGCACTTATAGTTGTATTTTTGTGTGCTATGGCAAACCCTCGTTGCTGAAGTTTTATGGTAAATGCCCCAACGGAAATGCCCCTAGCCAAGAAGTGTCCCTACTGACAGCTCAAATGACCCATTCGGTGGCCACAATTTGCCATTGCTTGGATGTCGGTGGCAAGAGCCGCAAGCAGCAAGCGGCAAGCGGCAGCATGTGGCATGCGGCATGCGGCAAGTGGCAAGTGGCAAGCAGCAAATGGCGAAGACGACATCAGCAAATGGCAAATGGGGCATCGGCATCTGATAGATATAAAAACATCAACACACTGCCATCCACTCAATGCGCATTTGTATCTGTATCTGTATCTCTCTATCTGCAAATGTATCTCGTGTGTATGTGGCTTCGCCTTTGGGTGCTGCATCTTCCGTTCATAGTGCATCGAACTTCCACTTTGGATTCTACGTTGTAAATATCTTGTGCTCATGTATCGACAATAATTACGTCTGAGCTACTCGTAGATCGCAACTCAGAGAATTTGCAAGTTGCTCAGATGGAGCAGAGAGCGGGAGAGTGGGAGAGCAGGGGTAGAGGGCGCTATGACTGGACGTGAGAAGGCCGCAGACAATAATACAAACACGCCAAAGTGTGTAGAACGAAATGGAAAATGGAATCGAATCGAAGCGCATGAAATGAAATTGTGCACCCAGTTCAGCACACCCCACCCGTTCCCCCTCTACTCTATCTCTTCCTCTCTCACACGCTCTCTCTCTGTCTCTCTCTTGGTTTGCTGTCCGCACAATACTCGTTCGCTCGTTCACTCGTTCCTTCCTACATTCTGCGAGGTGAATGGACGCAAGGTGACGCGACGTAGCGCAGTCGCTGCCCGCGTCGCTGCTGCAGTCAACGTCAGTTGAATGTTGGCTTCATTTACTATGGATTTGCGCGCCAAAAACGTTCCCCTTTCAGGAGTTGACTTTGTTTTGAGAGAGACAGAGCGAGCGAGCGAGCGAGCGAGAGAGAGAGAGAGAGAGACGCCAGTGAAACGTTGTGAATGTGAAACGTGGATGCCAAAAGGGCCATAGGCATGGGCATGGGCATGGGCATGGGCGTGGCAGCAGAAAAAATAACAGAAAACAGAGAACAGAGAACGAGAAAAAAAAACGAGACAGGAGCACAGGCCAGACGCCAACTGTGCTGTACTTGCTGCCATTTACCATTACCACTTCGCATCGACGACTGCCCCCGGGCCTAAGCCAACCTCCCCCCGCCCACCGGCACCCGGCCGAGAAGCGAAGCGTTTCAGAGCTGCCGCTCCTTCAGTTTTGTGTTTGTCTTGCGAGTTTTGCTTTGATCCCCTCATTCTGTCTGGCTGGCTGGCTGGCTGGCATTCCCGTTCGCATTCGCAATTCTGCTTTGCCTTTGCCTCAGTTTTTGCATTTGTTTTTGTTTTTGTGCCCATTGCCATTGCATGCACTTCGCCCGCCACAGACAGAGCCATGTTATTGCCCTGTCGTCCTCTCCTGCTGCTGCTGCTTCTCTCCTCTTTATCATCGCTCTCGTTGTCGATGTCGTTGTCGTTGTCGTTGTCGTTGTCGTTTGCTGGCTTTGTTTACAAGCATTTGATGGACCACTAACGTCGCATTGAGGCTCCCCTTCGCATTCGCATTCGCATTCTGCAAAATGCGCGCGATTTTCTTGCTGCTGCCCTTTTTTTGTCTCTCGCTTTTGCTATTTGTTGTTTTTGCATTGGGGTTTCTTCTTCTTGTGCTTTGGCGAATTATGACAGCAAAACGTGTTGCGTGGCACAAAAACAAATGGCGAGAAAATTGTAATTCTCTTGCCCGCCCGCCCCCTGCGGGTCTGCTGCCCCTGCTTCATCTTCTTGTCTCCGCTGGCGATTCGCATTCTCATTGCCATTCGCTTCATTTTTATACCCTGAACCCATTGAAAATGGGAAATCAGGGTATAATGTTTTT